ATTAACATCAGGAACAATACGCCCTGAAGCAACCGGGTGGTACAATGTAAAATAAAATACAAAATAAACCAAATAGTGATCTATTAACTTACAAGCAAGCAGCCCAGAAGCAACCGGGTGGCACAATGCAAAATAAAATACAAAATAACCCAAATAGTGATCTATTAACATCAGGAACAACACGCCCTGAAGCAACCGGGCAATACAATGCAAAATAATATACAAAATAAACCAAACGGTGATCTATTAACTTACAAGCAAACAGCCCAGAAGCAACCGGGTGGTACAATGCAAAATAAAATACAAAATATATTACATGGCGATCTATTAACTTCATAAGCAAACAGCCCAGAAACAACCGGCAGTGATACAATCCCCAGGAGCGGCAACGAAATATGTCAACAGAGTAGGCAATCATCCCACTAAAAATCAGTAAAGCTTTCAACAACGAACAAACAAACAGCCATTGCAGTGGTTCGAAAAACTGTCAGCGGATGAAGCGACTGCTCACAAACACCCGACGGGATCAGCTGCAGGCAGCACTGCTCGTGACTTAGACTACACGGCGCTACATCTGACCAAGCCGATACCTGGGAGGCCCAGTACATTCCTGAGTGACTCTCCGCATTCCTGGGAGACTCCGCACATTCCTGAGCGGCTCCACGCATACTTCCACAGCCCCGCCCACACCTAGTCAGACAAGTGCCCGAACTCCCCAACCCCCCCCAACCCCCCCCAACTACCACCCGCCACATACCTGGTGATGACGAGAAGGTACTCGCTGTGAATGCCGCGTGGTATATGTTCTTAGTCAGTGAGTCGTACTGGTCCCACACACCGTCCTCTACAGCCCACACGCGCTGTGCAGGGTACGAGTCAGGCGAGGGAGCGGGCAGAGACACACAGTCGCTGGTGAACAGAAACGCACCGTTGGTGGCCTTGGAGGCGAACTGCAGAAGTTCGGTATCTGGCACATAGCCGAAGGACATGGACGGCTCATAGTTGGTCACCTGGATGAAACTCAGCGGGAACATGTACCTGTGGAAGTGTAGTGGTTTAGTGGTTTGGTAGTGTAGTAGTGTAGTAGTCATGTAGTTGAATAGTTTGGTAGTTTAGTAGTGTAGTAGCTAAGTGGTTTAATAGTTTAGTAGTGTAGAAGTCAAGTAGTTGAATAGTTTAGTAGTGTAGTAGTGTAGTAGTTAAGGTTTAATAGTTTAGTAATGTGGCAGTCAAGTAGTTGAATAGTTTAGTAGTTTAGTAGTGTAGTAGATAAGTGGTTTAATAGTTTAGTAGTGTAGTATTTAATGGTTTAGTAGTGTAGTAGTCAAGTAGTTGAATAGTTTAGTAGTTTAGTATTGTAGTAGTTAAGTGGTTTAATAGTTTAGCAGTGTAGTAATCAAATAGTTGAATAGCTTAGTAGTTTAGTAGTGTAGTAGTTAAGTGGTTTAATAGTTTAGCAGTGTAGTAATCAAGTAGTTGAATAGTTTAGTAGTTTAGTAGTGTAGTAGTTAAGTGGTTTAATAGTTTAGCAGTGTAGTAACCAAGTAGTTGAATAGCTTAGTAGTTTAGTAGTGTAGTAGTTAAGTGGTATAATAGTTTAGCAGTGTAGTAATCAAGTAGTTGAATAGCTTAGTAGTTTAGTAGTGTAGTAGTTACGTGGACGGTTGAAAGCATGCACCTTAGCCGACAAGTACCACTGTACATTTAGTTGGCATGTCTCCCCTAGATCGCACTAAGAATTGTCAGCTACACAAAACCACACGTGATCAGTGCACTCAGTCCAGAAAATACTACCGTCAAACATTCAGGTTTACATCAACTCGGGTACCATTCACAACCAGGCCAAGTGACCTGTGTAATTGAACGCTCATCACGCGCGTCGACGATGTGCCAACCCAACAAGAACACCCACGTGCATACAACTCAGGACATATCACACTCCACATCACCTGGACATTTACAACCCACACATGCCAACTCAACAATAACACCCACATGCATATAACTCAGGACATATCACACCCCACATCACCTGGACATTCATACCCACACATGACAATTCAATAATAACGCCCACATGCATATAACTCAAGACATATCACACCTCACATCACCTGGACATTCACAACCCACACATGCCAACTAAACAATAACACCCACATGCATATAACTCAGGACATATCACACCTCACATCACCTGGGCATTCACAACCCACACATGCCAACTCAACAATAACACGCACATGCATATAACTCAGGACATATCACACCTCACATCCCACCGCCTGAGGTGTGGTGACCTACCTGCTGAAGAGTGTGAGAATGGAGTCGAAGGCAGCGCTGGAGTGGTCTCTGAGTGTAGCCACGCCATCTGTCAGTACAATCAGAGTGCCCTTGTAATTCCCAGGCAGCATCTCAAGCGCAAAGATGCCGTTCTGCAGGCTGGACACCAGCCCTACATGCAAGGGACGTAGCAACACGTTTATTAGAGATGATAGACGGAGATTAGATCGGCTATAACGTAATTCATATGTATATATACATATATATATATATATATATATATATATATATATATATATATATATATATATATATATATATATATATATATATATATATATATATATATATATATATATATATAGTATA